CCTCATTCCTTCCATTCGTGCGAATGCCCCCTTCCGTGCACTTTCTTCGAATGTTGGAGACCAGGTTGCCAATTCGCCCTTCGAAGGGTCTCCTCCGGTCCCAAGAAGTCGGAGGAGTTCCCCGCGGCCGGTCACCGGGTCCTCTATGTGTACCATGTATATGCCATCGTGCAGATGCATTCCTGTCATTTCCACATTGGCGCACCACGGTCTCCCGAGGATTACGCCGTGATCCATTTCTTCCATCACGGTCATCCGCTGAAAGGACCAGATGGATTCCCAGATTCCCGCCCTGACTGCACATTTGGTGACATACCCTGTGAAAGGAATTTCGCCACCTGCTCCCCGGATACTCCCTGCTACTTCCTTGTTTACTGTGCACCCCGTAACCGTTGCGAAATCCCGTCGTATAAGGGTGATTTATGCTCCGCCGTCCACTAACGAGTCAGTGTGGTGAGTTCCGATTTGAACTTTAAGTTTCCCAACTGGTAATGCATGAAATCTAAGCTTCGTCCTGGGTGGCGCCCTCATGACTTCGCCACCTTCACGATCCGGTAGGCTTAGGCGGATGTCCACAAAGGCTTTCTCCAACTCTCCCAGGCCCCCTGGAATGCTTTGGAGGTTGGAGACTCCTTGCGGCGCCTCAGCCTCCTCCGTGTCCTGCTCTTGCAGTTCCGGGGCCTCCTCTACCTCTACGCGCTAACGCGTTAGCAACTGCCTGAGTCCTTTAAGCAGCCTTGGGCTGGCTTGCAGCATGGTCTGAAAAGACACCGATACCATGGTACCCAGTAGCTTACTCAAGGTGCCATCGATTTCTGACGAAGTTAGGATCAAAATTTAATACCTGAACTTCTTTTTTGCGGTCGTAGCCTTGTCTACCGGTTCGTCCTCTCTTGGCTTCCCATAGACCTTCTCTTGATCCCCGGCTTCGGTCTCTTGCTGGCCCGTGCTAGTCCCTGCGAGTTCTTCCATTATTGTATCTTGGATGAGCTTCTTTTCTGCCTCGGCCCGGCGAGTGGTAATATTTACCCTATCCTGGCCATTGCCTTCTAGGATAAAATTGGCCTGTGGTCCCCGTCCCCTTGGCTGGTCCCAGACAATCTCGGCTATCGGCTCTGCTTCTACGGCAGCTATCTCTAAGTTATTCAGGAGGATGACGGTTCGCCGCATCCCTCCTGGCGAGTTCCAGTTAACACGCTCCCCCCTGGGTCCGAGGATCTCGCCTTTGAGGGACCTACTGCACCTCTACCGCTCGATATCGTGATTAAGTCTCTGACAGATCCGTACGAAATGCCCGATCATGGTGCAATACTTGCATTGTTCGTTGGCCGGGTCCCTCCTGCCAAACCCCCGATTTGCTACAGCTGTCGGAACCACGGCCTCTTGGGGCGGGAGGGTGGGCCTGGACACTTGCGCCTGCATTACTAACAGCGCATTTTTCATTCTGTCCATCTTGCTATCAACCTCGTGCACCCGTTCGTGCAGGCTCTCTATTCCCTTCCTGACCTTATCCACTATCTTCCCGGTCAGATCTATGACCTCCCCTTCCTTAAGCAGGGCTAGCGTCTCGGTGACTACTGTTTTTTCCGCAAGGTCTGTTACAGTGCTGAAGTCCACGTCTCTCGTGTATTCGAACTTACTAGTCTGCTGGTAAGCTGACAAAATCTTATCTTTATCGAACTCGAAAAACTGCCTGAGGAAGTATTTACTCATTATACGATATGTTACCCCGGGAATTCGCAAAGCCACTAACGTGAATGCCCTTAGGAAATCATTGTAAGTCGCATAGTTTTTCTTCTGGACTGCGGCTAATTCGGCCTTTGTTGCCATTTTCTCTGCCTTCAGGTATTTCCTCATCATCTCATTCCTGGTTTCTTTCCAGGATCTACTGGAGGCGACGATGGCTATAATGTCCCTTCCCAAGCTTAGTGATACGTGCTGTCCTAGGTGCTCCATCTTTTCCTCTTCCGTCCATCTCAGTAAGGCTGCTAGGTTCTCATAGTCTATTAGAAACTCCGTAATGTTGGCCCCATCGAACGTGAGTTTCTTTTTTGCATCAGCGAGATACCCCTGGTTCTTGTTAAGTGTCCTGTTGAGGGTGACGACTACTTTCTTGAGATCGTCTTCAGAGCCACCCGCTTCCCCGGCTGCACTGGCTCCTTCCCCTTCCTTGCTTTCCCTCTGCTTCTCCCTGGTTTTCGGTGTTCCTTCTGGGTCGAACCATCCTAGCACTCTCTCCCTAAGGCTCCAGAGTCCGTCACACACCCTTGTTACTTTCGGCGTGGCGGGTAGTCTGCTAGTGCCGCTGTTACTTTCCGTTCCTTCCGCCGGGGGGTCACTCTTGTCCTTCCCCTTCTTGCTAGGCGTTCCTTTGTGACTATCATCCTTCCCCACATACCTAGCCTCGTCCTGACCGGCCCTGCGTCCCTCACGTGACCCTGCGTCCTGGAGGTCCTCCTCATCCCCGGCCATCATGTGCTCGATAAGTCTTGCCTTAAATTCCGAGGTGCGCTTCTCTATCTCTGCCAGTTTAGGACTGGTATCCAAGACTTTTGTTTTTTAGGGGTGGCTCCTGCTGAGTTCCGAGGACTTGTTCTCATATCATTTCCCCCTTCCCTGTTTTCCTGAGGTCCCCTTTTGCTACCCCCAACTTTCTCCAAGCTTTCTCCAATTGAGACGTCCTTTCCGTCTTCTCGGGTCTCCTCCAGTTTGGTTGACTCTCGATCCCTGGCTGATCCCTCGTTTCGTTCCCCATTGAATCCCTCCGCTCTGCTGGTCATCGATCCCTTCCTCCGTCGCCATTTCTTTACCTAGCCTGCACATGGAAAAAATTTTTTTGCGAAACGGCGACCGACTGTTCATAACTGCCCTAGTCCCCTCCCTAAAACCCGCCTATTCTCATATTTTTTTGCATCTTATATTAATTGGTCCGACTTTCCTGACTTTCCTTTCCCAGGGCGTCCTTAAGGTTTTTCTCCCTCCATCCTTGCCGCTGCCGCTCGACATTTTTTTTACTGTTGAGTTTAGATTCTTAGGGCGGCGCCCGAGCCCAGTGGCTTCCCTATCGGTTATGGCCCTTTTGGCTTATTGGCATCCAGGTGCCTCAGAACTTTGGGAGCGGTGGTCTTCCTAGTTCCTTCCTGCCGCATCATTGGGTCGGCCGGGACTCCAACCACTGCCCCTCTTTTGCTGTCAACCGCCTACTTATCTTAGTGCCCATCCTTTGTTTCCCTACCTCTTCCTGACGCATTTTCTCATGCTGGTCCCTCAGGCCTACCCTGCTTATCTGGTTCCTCGAACAGGTCAGCCAACCCAGCAAGGTAATTTTCCCCCATTTCTATTTCCCTAATAATTATTGGCTCATATTCTTTAAACGACAGGTGGGGCAATCCGAATATCAAGATCTCGAGTAATTCGAGTAGTTCCCAGACTTGGTTTCCCCAGAATGGCGCATGTCTGACCGACACGTCGTAAAACATGCCCGTTGTTTGCAACCGGAAGAGGTGGATTCAGACCAGTGTCGAGTCCACCAAATCCCTTGCCCTCTTGAGACTGCCGAATACCACGTCTACCATGAAGCGAGGCACTCGACACCTCAGCCCGGTCATTGGGGCCTTGAACTCTCGCGAACCTCCTATTTCCACCCAAGTCCTTAACCCCGTATTCCTTCTTCCTCGCACTTCCTGGCCTACCCGATTTAGTACTCTAGTAGCCCTCTGGAAGATTGGCAACAACCCATGCCCTAGTGCCAACTCCGTCCCTAACATATGTCATCCGAGCTCTGGCAGGTATACGGTCCCCGTTACCCTGAGATCGGTGTACAGATCGTCCCCCGGTCCCCTGTTAATTCTCATACCATCCCACAAACATTCCACCATCATGAACGCCTGACCTCTTCCCAGGGTCACGGCTCTCCACTCGGTATCCAATCCTTGAATCGTGTAGCTTGCTGGGAGCGACACCTCCCATCCATCTCCGTTTTCCGTGGGTGGCCGCGGGTGCACGGATCGTCGCGGCATCCGGGCGCGTCTCATCGCCATTTCCAACTTAGAATTCCCCTGCACAGTTTTAAACAGCATGCGAGTTTACTTATTCCACTTGGTCTTCAATTTTCCCCCCGAACAACTCCCCGATCCCTAGCCTGGTGTTTTTTTTCCCCTTCTATTTCTTTCCCCTCTCTTCGKCCCTATTACCGACCTGTTCCCTCCTCCATCTGCTCATACAATCGGTACAGATCCTCTACGTACGCCATCCCATGGTTTATTTCCCGCCGGACGACACCCCAYAGGAYCTCACTTCCCACGAYCGGAACCCTTGGCCTGGTACCAAACACAGCACGCAGGATGCGTAGCACCTCGTACTTCTGCTCTCCGCTAAACGGTCTCATTTCTAAGAAGGCCCAGTAGTATTCTCGATGTACCGCCGCTTCTTTATATGTCAGGCTTGCGAGGTCGGCTACTGCTTGTCCAACAAGTTCCAGACCGCCCAGTTTTTCCAGCAGAAAGGGCGGCAGCCTCATTCGTACATTCTCACTAGGTAATTCGAAACTCCCGACCATGGCTACCCCAAGGTCTGCCGTTACATCGTCAACCCCCGGATCTGCGAACTCAAATCCCGTTCGCCATACTAATTGCCATGCCCCCTCAAACATGCTCAACGGGTCTTCCCCAGATGCCAACCGAACTCAGAACTCTCTTCACCCGTTTTCTGACACATACAACCGCCCCTCTGCCCACACGTGTCCCTGTGGGTCCGGGTTCCATTCCCCATTCTCAGCCGCACGCCACTCAACTTTCGTCACCAAATAAACCATATTTTCCACAAGCTCGATCCCGACCTAATCCGCCACCTGGTGCCATCCCTCGCCTGTTGCCGGCAGGCTAACCTCTATCCCGCCCGGTACTTCCCTAGGCGATTCAATGCCCAGGGGGCGCGTCCTTCTTCGTGCCATCGCGCGCTCGCCTTTGATCTCCCGGCTCGCGATCCGCGCCGATCCCTACAATGGCCAGACATCCCATTCCCTAATCTTAGCAATTTTGCCATATTTGTCTGGCTCCACAGCTTTCCTGCGCTTAGTCGGACCACACTACTTCAAACAGTTTGAACACATCATCCACATTGCAAAGTGTTGCTGCTACCTCACGGCGGATTATGGCCTGCCTGGTTTCCGGGGCCACCTCCTGCCGGTCATTCCTTTCGATGTCCAAAATAATGAGGACCTCCCGGGCTCTATCGCTGTGGAAGGGCCTCTATTTCAAGGACGTCCTATAAAATTCCCCTGCCAGCCATGTGCAATTCATGTGTATTCGCTCCATCGTGTCGGTTACCTCTGTTACATGATCAAAAACCCCGAACCAGTACGCCACGAACTCGGGTACCCAGATCTTAATTCGGGCACCGGTGTCGGGCGCAATCGGTCCGGCACCGCACGGGGCACCGCGGGACCCTCCCGGCCGCGTCACGCAGGAGTTGGTTTTCAATCCTTCGTCGCAAAAATACATGGAGCTTCCACAAGCCGCTCCGGCCGGGTGCGCCAGCCATACCTCTCGCGAGCCCCTACGACAGGATAGGGCCTATGCGAGGCACGACTTACCTACACCTTACGGGAG